AACTAACGAGGTTCAGAGGCAGATGGAGGGAGAAGAACACCCAGCAGGGAGAAGATATTTGGATATTTGGAAAACGATCCTGGTGGGATCCTGGAGGGGCATTCCCCGGGAATTTCCTTTGCAACTAAAGAGGTTGCACAATCCAAATCTTCCCAGATTGGGACCTGATGGGGATTTACAGACCAGGAACAACTTGCAATTAAACCAAGAGGTTTAGAGGCAGATCAGGGAGGAGAACACTCAAGAGGGAGGAGATATTTGGGAAATTGTGGTGGGGTCCTGGAGGGGCATTTCCCAGGAATTTCCTTACAAATAAAGAGCTTTAGATCCAGATACAGGGAGGAGATATTTGGGAAAGGATCCTGGTGGGATCCTGGAGGGGCATTCCCTGGGAATTTCCTTACAACTAAAGAGGTTGCACAATCCAAATCCTCCCAGATTGGGACCTGGAGGGGATTTACAGACCCGGAGCAATTTGCAATTAAACCAAGAGGTTTAGATCCAGATACAGGGAGGAGATATTTGGGAAAGGATCCTGGTGGGATCCTGGAGGGCATTCCCCGAGAATTTCCTTACAGCTAATGGGGTTTAGAGGCAGATGCAGGGAGGAGAATGCACAACAGGGAGGAGATATTTGGAAAACAATCCTGATGTGGTCCTGGAGAGGCATTCCTCGGGAATTTCCTTACAACTAACGAGGTTTAGAGGCAGATGCAGGGAGGAGAACACTCAACAGGGAGGAAATATTTGGAAAACAATCCTGATGTGGTCCTGGAGGGGCATTGCCCGGGAATTCCTTTACAAATAAAGAGGTTTAGATCCAGATACAGGGAGAAGATATTTGGGAAACGATCCTGGTGTGATCCTGGAGGGCATTCCCCGGGAATTCCCTTACAAATAAAGAGGTTTAGATCCAGATACAGGGAGAAGATATTTGGGAAATTGTGGTGGGGTCCTGGAGGGCATTCCCCGAGAATTTCCTTACAACTAACGGGGTTTAGAGGCAGATGCAGAGAGGAGAACACTCAACAGGGAGGAGATATTTGGGAAATTGTGGTGGGGTCCTGGAGGGCATTCCCCAGGAATTCCCTTAAAAATAAAGAGGTTTAGATCCAGACACAGGGAGAAGATATTTGGAAAACGATCCTGGTGAGATCCTGGAGGGCATTCCCCGGGAATTTCCTTACAGCTAACGGGGTTTAGAGGCAGATGCAGGGAGGAGAATGCACAACAGGGAGGAGATATTTGGGAAACGATCCTGGTGGGGTCCTGGAGGGCATTCCCTGGGAATTTCCTTTAAACTAACGGGGTTTAGAGGCAGATGCAGAGACGAGAACACTCAACAGGGAGGAGATATTTGGGAAACGATCCTGATGTGGTCCTGGAGAAGCATTCCCCGGGAATTCCCTTACAAATAAAGAGGTTTAGATCCAGATATAGGGAGAAGATATTTGGGAAATTGTGGTGGGGTCCTGGAGGGCATTCCCCGGGAATTCCCTTAAAAATAAAGAGGTTTAGATCCAGATACAGGGAGAAGATATGTGGGAAAGGATCCTGGTGGGATCCTGGAGGGCATTCCCCGAGAATTCCCTTACAACTAACGGGGTTTAGAGGCAGATGCAGGCAGGAGAACGCTCAACAGGGAGGAGATATTTGGGAAATTGTGGTGGGGTCCTGGAGGGGCATTTTCCAGGAATTCCCTTACAAATAAAGAGGTTTAGATCCAGACACAGGGAGGAGATATTTGGGAAAGGATCCTGGTGGGATCCTGAAGGGCATTCCCCGAGAATTTCCTTGCAACTAAAGAGGTTTAGAGGCAGATGGAGGGAGGAGATATTTGGGAAATTGTGGTGGGGTCCTGGAGGGCATTCCCCGAGAATTTCCTTACAACTAACAGGGTTTAGAGGCAGATGCAGGGAGGAGAACACTCAAAAGGAAGGAGATATTTGGAAAACAATCCTGATGTGGTCCTGGAGGGCATTCCCCGAGAATTTCCTTACAACTAACGGGGTTTAGAGGCAGATGCAGGGAGGAGAACGCACAACAGGGAGGAGATATTTGGGAAACGATCCTGGAGGGGCATTCCCGGGTGGGGACGGTACCTGGAAGCTGCCGAAGCAGCTGCCCCCGGGCAGGGTGACATAGCACACGTAGGGCGGGCTNCCCCCAGAATCAGAACTGCACCCCCGGAATGGGAACTGCACCCACAGAGTGGGAACTGCACCCCCAGAGTGGAAACTGCACCCCCAGAGTGGAAACTGCACCCCCAGAATGAGAACTGCACCCCCAGAATGGGAACTGCACCCCCGAGTGGGAACTGCACCCCCAGAGTGGGAATGGCACCCCGGAATGGGAACTGCACCCACAGAATCGGAACTGCACCCCCAGAGTGGGAACTGCACCCACAGAATGGGAACTGCGCCCCCAGAATCAGAACTGCGCCCCCAGAATGGGAACTGCACCCCCAGAGTGGAGACTGCACCCCCAGAGTGGGAACTGCACCCCCAGAATGGGAATGGCACCCCCAGAATCGTAACTGCACCCCCAAAATTGGAACTGCACCTCCAGAATGGGAACGGTACCCCCAGAGTGGGAACTGCACCCCCAGAATCAGAACTGCACCCCCAGAATGGGAACTGCGCCCACAGAATGAGAATGGCACCCTCAGAATGGGAATGGCACCCCCGGAATGGGAACTGCACCCCCAGAATGGGAACTGTACCCCCAGAGTGGGAACTGCACCCCCAGAATGGGAACTGCACCCCCAAAATGGGAACTGTACCCCCAGAATCAGAACTGCACCCCCAGAGTGGGAACTGCACCCACAGAATCAGAACTGCACCCCCAGAGTGGGAACTGCACCCCGGAATGGGAACTGCACCCCCAGAGTGGGAACTGCATCCCAGGAATGGGAATGGCACCCCCGAGTGGGAACTGCACCCTCAGAATGGGAACTGCACCCCTGGAATGGGAACTGCACCCCTGGAATCAGAACTGCACCCCCAGAGTGGGAATGGCACCCCCAGAATCAGAATTGCCCCTAGTGTTGGGGATTAATTTGATTTAATTCTTTTTTTCACACACAAAGTGTTGCCAAATTTGACTCTGAGATCAGGATTTGGGGACAGAACCAAAAGAGGTTCAGAACCTTCCAGTATGGTCTCAATTAATTTATTAATTAAATTTAATTGAATTAATTTTTTCAGTGGTCCCAAATTCCTCCCTGCGACCAAGATTTTGGGACAGAACCAAAACAGGTTCAGAACCTCCCAGTATAATCTCAACTAATTAATTTAATTTCGTTTAATTAATTTTTTCAGACACAAAGTGTTCCCAAATTCCCTCCAAATTCCAGGATTTTGGGTCAGAACCTCCAGTTGCATTTTCAATTAATTTATTACCCCAAACTTTTCCCAAATTCACCCCTGAGATCAGGATTTGGAGACAACCAAAAGAGGTTCAGAACCTCCCATTGCATTGCTGATTAGTTTGATTTAATTAATTTTTACAGACTCAAAGTGTTCCCAAATGTGCCCCAAAGATCAGGATTTTGGGACAGAACCAAAAGAGGTTCAGAACCTCCCGTTGCACTGTCAATTAATTAATTAAATTCATTTTTTCAGACCCAAATTGTTCCCAAATTTGCCTCAAATTCCAGGATTTTGGGACAGAACCAAAAGAGGTTCAGATCCTCCTGTTGCACTGTCAATTAATTAATTAAATTTAATTTAATCCTGGGAAGGAGAAGGAATGATCTAATCCTGGGAGGGAGGAGGAAGGATCAAATCCTCGGAAGGAAAAGGATCAAATTCTGGGAAGGAAAAGGAAGATCAGATCCAGCCAATCCAACAATTTTCCCTGACATCCCCTCTCCAACCTCATCTATAAGTGACCAGAACAGGCAATAAAGGGCACCAAAAACCCCAAAATCCACAGCCAAATCTTCCTAGACTGGGACCTGATGAGGATTTACAGACCAGGAGCAATTTGCAATTAAATCTCCTTGCAACTAACGAGGTTCAGAGGCAGATGGAGGGAGAAGAACACCCAGCAGNAACTAGAAATAAGTTGAGAAATTGGAAATAAGTTTAGAAATTAGAAATAAGTTTAGAAATGAGAAATAATTAGCTTCACAATTAGATTGTGATAGGCATGAATTATAACATTTGTCTCTATTGCCTCACCCTACACACGAGACTGAAAATGGAACTAGAAATAAGTTTAGAAATAAGTTTAGGGATTAGAAATAAGTTTAGAAATTAGAAATAAGTTTAGAAATGAGAAATAAGCTTAGAAATGAGAAATAATTAGCTTCAGATTGCGATGGAGTGAATTATAACATTTGTCTCCATTGCCTCACCCCACACACGAGACTGAAAACGGAATAAAATTTTTTAAACCGCCTCTAAACGACCCCACCTCAGGGTCACAAAATGGCCCAATCTGACCCAAAAAAGCCCAACCAAGCCCCCCCTGCTCACGTTGAAGGACGCCAGGGCCTCAGAGACGCTCTTCTCGATGAAGTCGTCGGTGATGCGGCGCGAGGGGTGCTCGTTGAACACGGAGTTCATCAGCGCGATCTTGGCGGCGCTGCGGCGCGCCTCGGCCTTGGTGGGACAGAACTGGGGACACGCGGCCACGCTGGGGCACCCCCGAGTGGGAACTGCACCCCCCGAGTGGGAACTGCACCCCCAGAGTGGGAACTGAACCCCTGGAATGGGAACTGCACCCACAGAGTGGGAACTGTACCCTCAGAGTGGGAACTGCACCCACAGAGTGGGAACTGCGCCCACAGAATGGGAACTGAACCCACAGAATGGGAACGGCACCCCCGGAATGGGAATGGCACCCCCAGAATGGGAACTGCACCCCCAGAATGGGAACCGCACCCCCAGAGTGGGAACTGAACCCTCAGAGTGGGAACTGCGCCCACAGAATGGGAACTGCACCCCCAGAGTGGGAACTGCACCCTCAGAATGGGATCTGCACCCCCTGAATGAGAACTGCACCCCCAGAATGGGAACTGCACCCTCAGAGTGGGAACTGCACCCCCAGAATGGGAACTGCACCCTCAGAATGAGAACTGCACCCACAGAATGGGAACTGCACCCACAGAGTGGGAACTGCACCCCCAGAGTGGGAACTGTGCCCCCAGAATTGGAACTGTGCCCCCAGAGTGGGAACTGCACCCCCAGAATGGGAACTGCATCCTCAGAATGGGAACGGCACCCCCAGAGTGGGAACGGTACCCCCAGAGTGGGAA